TGCTCATCTCTTTCTCCCCCTCTTCCTCCTCCTCCTCCTCCTCCTCCTCCTCCTCTTCGTCCTCCTCCTCCTGATCATCAGGGCCGTCTTCATCACCACCATCAGCATCAGCAGCATCATCCTCGTCGTCCTTGAAACCCTCATCAGCCTCAGCAGCCTCATCAGCCTCATCATCATCATCATCATCATCATCATCATCATCATCATCATCATCATCATCATCATCATCATCATCATCATCATCACCATCATCATAATCATCATCATCATCATCATCATCATCATCATCATCATCATCATCATCATCATCATCATCATCATCATCATCATTATCATCATCAGCATTATCACCATCATCATCATGATCAGCATCATAATCAGCATCAGTATCATCACCATCAGCATCATCAGCATCATCAGCATCATCGTCATCATCATCAGCATCATCATCATCGAAGCAGGGCGTGGCTGGCATGCAGTGGCAGTTGCGAGAAGGAGCTGGCGGTGAAGCGGAGCCCACACGTGACCAGCTACAGCTCGGAAATCAGCGCCGCACCAGCATGGCGACGTGGAACGCCCGTGCTGAGATCGCCACGGAGTGGCTGGCGGGCGGCCCCCATAGCAGGCGGCCCGAGGAGGCGCTCGCAGGCACGATCGAGCACGAAGAGGAGCACGGCGTGGAGGCGATGCAAAAGGGGGAGCTCATGGCGGCGGCGGCGGCTGCAGAGGCGGACGACGGCTCCGCCACGCCACCTCCTCTGCCAACTTGCGCGGTGGACTTCTGGGAGCGCCTGGAGGACGCCACGAGGGGCATCGAGACCACCATGAAGAGGGATGGTACCCGCGTGGCCAAGCGCGGCATGATCATGTACCGAATCTCACAACTGGAGGCCATCTACGGGGAGGCCCAGCGGGTGTTCGACGTCTCCGACGACGGGAACGACGATGAGGCCGAGCTAGAGCGCTTGGAGGCTCAGAAAGCGCTCGAGTCTGCTTGGCTGCACAGCGATACGCTGAAGAGCGGGGGCCTGTCTAGGCCGCCGTGGGGCTAGCGCCTCGCTGCCATTTCATATCGCAGTTTGGGGTGTGTCCGCATAGGAACCCTGGGGAGGGGGCCCGAGGACCCCTAGTAGTGGTGCGCAGTTGAGCTTACGGTGGCTCTGTCCTCGCGTGTGCAGCGGGCGCGCGCGCCCGTGGGAGGGGCCAGCCCTAGGTGCAGGGAGGCGCAGGATGGCATCTGCAGGAGCGGAGGGCGAGCGCGACACTGCGCCGCCCCTCCTTGGGAAAGCGCGATCGTCATCATCATCATCATCATCATCATCATCATCATCATCATCATCATCATCATCATCATCATCATCATCAGCATCAGCATCAGCATCAGCATCAGCATCAGCAGCAGCATCATCATCATCATCATCAGCATCATCATCATCATGATCGTCATCATCATCATCAGCATCATCATCATCGTCGTCGTCATCATCAACATCATCAGCATCAGCATGATCATCATCATCAGCATTATCATCATCATCACCATCATCACCATCATCACCATCACCATCATCATCAGTATCATCAGCATCATCAGTATCCTCATCATCAGCATCATCAGCGTCATCATCATCATCATCATCAGCCGCATCGGCATCATCATCATCATCAACAACAGCATCGTCAGCAGCAGCAACAACATCAGCATCGTCAGTATTATCAATGTTCTAATCACCATCATCAGCAGTACCATCAGCATCATCATCCTCATCATCAGCATCATAATCACCATCATAATCAGAATCCTCATCATCACCATCCTCTGCATCGCCAACAAATCATGAACATCCGCATCATCACCATCGTCAACATCATCATCATCATCCTCGTCAGCGTCATCACCATCATCATCACTATCATCATCATCATCATCATCATCAGCATCATCATCAGCTTCATCATCAGCAGCATCATCATGGCCATCGTCATCGTCATCGTCATCGCCACCGCCATCGTCATCGTCATCTTCATCGTCACTACCACCACCACCATCACCGTCATCTTCTTCACCACAAGCCTCACCACCATCATCTTTGTCGTCGTCATCATCCCCATCAGCATCGTCATCATTGTCGCAGTCGTCGCCGTCGGCATCATCACAATCACCACCGCCACCATCATCAGCATCATCATCAGTATCAGCAGCATCATCATCAGCAGCATCATCATCGTCCACATCATCATCATCATCATCATCATCGTCATCATCATCATCGTCATCATTATCATCATCAGCATCATAATCATCGTCATCATCATCGTCATCATCATCATCATCATCATCATCATTATCATCAGCATTATAATCGTCAACATTAGCATCAATATCATCATCGTGGTTGTCGTCATCGTCATCAGCATCACCACCGTCATCATCAACAACAGCGCCAGCAGCATCAAAAGATTGACCATCATCATCATCATTATCGTCACCATTATCATCATCACCACCGTCATCGTCATCATCATCAAACCACCACCATCATTTATCATCACAAGCAGCAGGATCATCATCATCTGCATCGCCATCATCGACATCGTCGTGATCATCTTCATCAGCAGCATCATCATCACCATCATCAGCATGATCAGGATGTTGACCAAGCCAGCATCATCATCATCATCAACATCATCATCAACAGTATCATCACCATCTTAACCATCAGCAACGTCGTCATCATCAGCAACAGCATCATCATCATCATGAGCATCATCAGCATCATCGTCATCGTTTGTATCATCACCATCATCATCATCATGATCATCACCATCATCGTCATCACCAGCATCGTCAGCATCACTTTTATTATTATTATATGAATATTATTGATATAATCGTAATTATTAGCATCATCATCGTCGTAAGCATCGTCATCAGTATCATCACCATCATCATCATCATCATCATCATCATCATCACCACCACCAGAAACATCATCATACTTCTCCGCCCCAACTCTCCCCGACCCTCTCGCACGGCCCAAGGAGACACAACCGCATCGTTGTGTGCCAGTCGTGCGCATGTTGCCTGTTTCCTCATATTGCCTGGGGGCAGTGCCGAGGGTTCCAGCTGCCCTGCAAGGGGCCCAATCGGGTCCAGACGACCCGACGAAATCACGCCCGGTGTCTTTCTAATGCTACGATGGGCTTGCATCCGAAATCTGGCAAGCCCCTCTAATTCCATGCCTGTCTCCACTCGTCATTACGTGATTAAGGCAACCCGTGTTCGGGGCTGTCTGTGAACTGTGATGGTTGCGAGGTGTAGCATGTGCAGCCACCCATCGCTGTGTCCACATTGCAGGCCTGCACTGGTATCTCTCCTGTGCGCTCGGCCTCGTTCTGGGCACGGTATCGTTGATTGGGCGGAACCGCCTGGCACACAGAGCCCCTTGCTGCGCTCTTGTGCAGAGTGCTGGCCACGAGGTGCACCCGCGGGAGCCTCCCACTGCCACCGTGTGCGGAGTGACGGTTGCGAGGTGTACCTGTGGGAGCCTCCCATCGCTACCATTCGAGTGGGCGGGGTGGGCATCTCTGTCTTCTACCCCTGGGACTTCAGCGCGAAGAATCAACATGACAGTTGCGGCCCGAGAGGAGGAGGAGGAGATGAAAGAGGGGGAGGAGGAAGAGGGGGAAGTGGAGGAGGAGGGGGAGAAGGAGGAGGAGGAGGAGCAGCACGAGGAGGAGGGGCCGTGCTGTCGCCCAAATCCATTACGCTGCGCTATCGTCGTCTCGACTGCACCGCTGCTTGCTCGCTCGCTCACTCCCCCCCCCTCCGCCCCTCCTCCCCCCGCGCCGCCTCCTCACCGCTCCCCCGCCTCCATCTCGGCGTCCTCCCCCACCGGCCCTCTTCTCCATCCTCCCGTCCTCCTTCCTCGCCCTCCTCCTCCTCCTCCTCCCTCCCTCCTCTCGCTCTCCATCGCCAGCCTCTTCCTCATCCCCCTTCCTCCTCCCTTCTCGCCCTCCCTCCTCGCCCTCCCTCCTCGCCTTCGTCCCTCCACGCCTTACGTACTCCTCCTCCTCCCTCCTCCTCATCCCGCCGCCCCGCTCTACCTCATCGCCCATCCCTCCTTCGCCGTCCTCCCCTCGCCCATCCCTCCGTCGACCTCCTCCGTCGACCTCCTCCTCCTCCTCCTCCTCCTCCTCGACCCCTCCACCTCGGAGGCGGAAAAGGTGAAGGAGGAAGAAGGGGAGGAGGGCGAGGCGGCAGGGGGGGCAGCAGCAGGGTGAGGCAGCAGGGGGGCAGGGCGGAGGGGAGGACGACGGGGGGAGGGGAAGGGAGGCAGGCAGCGGAGCCCTCGCCCCGCCTCCGTGTCGTACTCCCTCGCCCCCCACTCCGCCGCCATGCCAGATCCCTTCGCCCGCTCGCGCAGGCCAGAAAAAGATGCACCCGAGGCTCGGAGCGGGCGCGCGGGTCATGGGCAAGAAACCGTCCGGCAGCCCGTGGGGGAAGATCTCCGCGACCTGCGCGCCAGCGGCTCGTCGACGTCAGCGTCGTCGTCGTCGCCGTCGGTGTCGTCGTTGTCGTCGTCGTCGTCGCCGTCGTCGTAGCCATGACCGTGATTGTCGGTGTCGCCATCGTCGTCGTCGTCGTCGGTGTCGCCGTCGTCGTTGTCGACGTCTTCGCCATCGGTGTCGTCGTCGTTGGCGTCGTCGTCATCGTCGTCGTCATCGTCGTCGTCGACGTCATCGTCGTCGTCGACGTCGCCGCCATCGATGTCGTCGTCGTCGTTGTGGTCGCCGTCGGTGTCGTCGTCGTTGTCGTAGTGGTCGTCGTCGTCGTCGGTCGAGTCTCGCCATCGCCGTCGTCGTCGTGGTCATCGGTTTCGTCGTCGCCGTCGTCGTCGTCAAACTCGTCGTCGCCGTCGTGGCCGCAAGTGTCGCCGTCGTCGTCGTCGCCGTCAATGCGCGACCATCGTCATCGACGTCGTCATCGTCGTCGCCGTTGTTGTCGTCGTCATCGTCGCCGTCGTCGTCGTCGTCGTCGTCGGTGTCGTCGCCGTCGACGTCGTCGGTGTCGACTTCGTCGTCGTCATCGCCGTCGTCGTCGTCGGCGTCGTCATCGTCGTCGTCGTCGCCGTCGTTGTCATCGTCATCGACGTGGTCGTCGCTGTCGTCGTCGTCGTCAGTGATGCCGTCGTCACCACCGTCGTCGTACTTCGTCGTCGCCCTCGTCGTCGCCGTCGGCGTTGCCGTCGTCGTCGTCGTAGTCGTCGTCATCGTCGTCGTCGCCATCAATGTCAACGCCGTCGTCGTTCTCGTCGTCATCACCGTCGTCGTTGACGTCGTCGTCGTGATCGTCGACGCCGTCGGCGTCGTAGTCGTCGTTGTCGCCATCGTCGTCGCCGTCGGTGTCGTCTTCGTCGTCGCCGTCGGCGCCGTCGTTGTCGTCATTGCCATCGTCGTCGTCGACGTCGTCGCCGTCGTCGTCGTAGTCGTCGCCATCGTCTTCGTCGTCGCCACCGGTGTCGTCATCGTCAGGGTCGTTGTCGTCGTCGTCGTCGTTGTCGTCGTCGTTGCCACCGTCGTCGGAGTCGCCGTCGTCGCCGTTGGCGCCGTAGTCGTCGTGACCGCCGCCAGCGTCGTCGTCGTCATCGTCTTCGCCGCCGTCGTCGCCGTCGTCGTCGTTGTCGTCGTCGTCGCCATCGTCGTCGGTGTCGTCGTCGTCGTCGACATCGGTGTCGCAGTCGTCACCATCGTCGTCGCCGTCGTCGCCGTTAACGTCGTCGTTGGAGTCATTGCCGTCGTCGTCGTCGTCGCCGTCGTCGTCGTCGTCGTCGCCGTCGTTGTCGTCATCGTCGTCGTCGTTGTCGTCGTCATCGTCGGAGTCGTCGTCGTCGTCGTCGACGTCGGTGTCGTAGTCGTCGTCGTCGTCGTCGTCGTCGTCGTAGAAGTCTTTGCCGCCGTCGTCGTCGTCGACGTCGTCGTCGTCGCCGTCGTCGTCGTAGTCGTCGCCGTCGTTGTCGTCATCGTTGCCGTCGTCGCCGTCGTCGTCGTCGTCGCCGTCGTCGGTGTCGCCGTCGTCGTCGCCGCCGTCGGTCTGGTCGTTGTCATCGTCGGCGTCGTCGTCGCCGTCGGTGTCGTCGCCGTCGTCGGCGTCATCGTCGTCGGCGTTGTCATAGTCGACGTCGCCGTCGACGTCGTCGTCGTCGCCGGCGTCGTCGTCGCCGTCGTCGCCGCCGTCGTGGTCGTCGCCGTCGGTGTCATCGCCATCGTCGTCGTCGTCGTCGGCGTTGCCGTCGTCGTCGTCGCCGTCGTCGTCGTCGTAGTCGTTGTCGTCGTCGTCGACGCACTCGTCGTCGTCGTCGTCACCGCCGTCGTCGTCGTCGTCACCGCCGTCGGTTTCATCGTCCCCATCGTCGTCGTCGTCGTCGTCGGTGTCGCCGTCGTCATCGTCGTCATCGTCGTCATTGTCGTCGTCGTCGTCGCCGTCGCCGTCGTCGTCGTCGTCGTCGCCGTCGGTGTCGTTCTCGTCGTCGTCGGCGTTTTCGTCGTCCCTCTAGGTGTCGTCGTCATCGTCGTGGTCGACGTTGCCGTCGTCATCAACATCATCGTCGCCGTCGTCGTCGTCGTCGCCATCCCTGTCGTCGTCGTGGTCGTTGTTTTCGTCATCCTCGTCGTCGTCGTCGCCGTCGTCGGTGTCGCCGTCGTCGTTGGCGTCGTCGTCTTCATCCCTGTCGTCGTCGTCGTCCTCGTCGCCGTCATCGTCGTCGTCGTTGCCGTCGGTGTCGTCGTCGTCGTGGTCGTCGTCGCCGTCATCGTCATCATCGTCGTCAGCGTCGACGTCGGTGTCGCCGTCGTCGTCTTCGCCGTCATCGTCGTCGTCATCGTCGTCGTCACCGTCGTCGTCGCCGTCGTCACCGTCATCGCCGTCGTCAACGACGGTGTCGTCATCGTCGCCGTCGTCG